TGAGAAGTCTGGAAGCTTTGCAAAGTGACTCCACAGTTAGTCTACACCCTGGGGTGTAGAGGACGGGCCCTTACCTCTAGGATGCTGTTCATTGTGTCAACTTGAGAAGTCTAAGAGATTAACTAAGTAATCTAGCAGAAAGCCAGGCCCCTCACTTTGTAAACAACCTCAACCTGTGCAAGAGGAGGGCACGGGGATGGGGCGGGTAGAACGGACCTCCCAGGGTGGCTATCTCCAGTCTTCACCTTCAGCTTGGTGGCCGTCTCCTGGCTTCTGGGGCTGCCCGATCAGTCTCCGTGTGGACTCTTCAGCTGTCCTTTACAGACCCACTGGCCTCCTGATACAGACTTGCACAGACACCGCAGTGAGCTCCAGACTTGGCCCGGACCCTTCAGCCTCACCCCGCTTCCTCATCCAGTGCTGTGGTTGACATCGTAAGCCAATCTCATAATTTCTTATACATTCGTATATCTTGTGTTACATCTGTTTCTCTAGCAAACCCTGAAGGATACATCCTCTCATTGGTATCCCAAGCCCTTACTATTTATTTTTTTAAAACTTTGAACCCAAAGAAGAGACACAATAGCCTACTTCCCAGCTTCAGCTAACCCTCTCTTCAGCTAAAGCTCTCAGTTGTTTTGTTGTGAGGATCGGATCTCCCAGTGCCAACCGGCAGCTCTGGAGCACTGTGGCATGACCCACAGTGACCCAGAAAGGCCGGGGCAGATGACCTGGTTGAGAATCTTCCAGCACTGGCATCTAAGCCCTCTGTCTTCTAAAGATAGAGCTGGAGGTGTGGGCTGCAAGGACATTCTGGCCCATACTACGGAAGTCAGGGGTACAGGAGCTCCCACCACCTCCTTGGCCAAATTAAACCAAGTAGAATAGGTGGGGCACACAGGGTGCCAGGGCCATGCGGGAATATCCTTGGTGACTATGGCACGGGGTCAGAGGACTACCCAGGTGTGGCCTACCTACTGGTCAGCCTTTGTGTCCCACGGACAAAGTGTGGGCTGCTCCAAGCCACAATGCAGTTCCAGCCCAGCCAGGGAGGAACCAGACGCGCTGACCCCACTCCCACCCCAGCCAACGTCCACAGTCTTACTTTCTGTAACTTCAGTTACTCATGGTCCACCTTGGTCCAAAAATATTATATGGAAAATTCCTGAAATAAAGTGTTCATAAGTTTTAAATAGCTTTTATTGTGGAATATTGAGGTAATTGTTCTATTTTATTACTTGTTAATGTTGTTCATCTCTGACTATGCCTGACTTGTAAACTGAACTTTATTAGAGGTGTATATTTTTAGGAAGAAAAAACTAAAGAATATGTAGTGTTCAGAACTGTATTTGGCTTGGGACATTCCCTGGGGGTCTTAAAATGTATCCTCTGGGGGTAGGGGAGTACTGTTCTATTTTTCTAATACTCCATGAGGCCAAAACAAAATACAAAATACAACTCACTCCTTTTTTACTGTTCTTTTACCTCAGTGCAGGGGCGGAAGCAGCTCCTTATGCAAGCTAGGCAACTGCTCTGCCAATAAGCCACGCTGCCCGGCCTCAAATAATTTTTATTTTCCAGAAGTTCTGACCATGGAGTGGAATGACAGCTTGACACTCAGCCTCACTGACTGGACCCATTTGTTTGGGTTTTCTGTGGGACTTGTGATCCATCCCAGGGCCACGCACGTGCTGGGCAGGCACCCACCAGTGAGCTACACCACCAGCTGGAGGATCCACTTGGGTGGAGGATGTTGAACTCTGCGCTGGGATTTCAAGGGTTCCTACCAGTCAGTCCAAGGGGTGTCTGTGCTTTGCCCTGCAGTCTTCTAGTGGAAAGAAAAAAAGAAAGGCAGGGAGGGAGAGGGAAGGGAAGAAGGGAAGAAGGGAAGAAGGAGGGGAGGGGGAGGGAAGGAGAAAGGAAAGGGGGAACACGTGAGCCTCAGTGTCCCCATGGTTAGGAGGCTGGGGGCTTAGTGGGCCTTGTCTTAAAATAATTCTGTGAGGAACATACGACTCCCTTTGCTACAGGTGGGACACCGAGACCCAGAGCGCTTCACTAATCTGCCACCACCTGCCAGCATTAAAAAAAAAATAATAAAACCACCTGTGTACTGCAGGTCCAGAAGTTCAGACGCTGCCTGCCCTCCTCTGAGAGAAAGGATGTGCATAATCAGCATGGTCTACCATATTAAAAGGATGCAATAAATACCGAGGACTATTGTCATTCATATTCCAGTTAAAGGTATAAATTGTGATTATCAATTAAGTAAAAATATGTTAAATATTAATGTGATGATTTATCAAAGCACATTCCCTAGGCTTAGGCACTATCTGTGGGAGACCGAGACCCACGATCCTGGGGTTTGCCTCTCTCTCTCTCTCTCTCTCTCTCTCTCTCTCTCTCTCTCTCTCTCTCTGAGACAAATTAGCCACCATGTTGTAAGAAACTTTGTGGAAAGGCCCTCCGTCTCACTGCTGAGACGAAATCCCCAAGGCCTAATGTTAAGGGAGGAAAGGTTGATCTTGGCTCACAGTTTGCAGAGGTTTCAGGATATGGCCGGCTGGCACCAAGGCAAGGAGTCTCAGCAGAGGGGGATTGCAGAGGAAAACTGTTCATGGTGGGCAGCAGACAGGAGGGAGGCTGCCAGCAACCACCAGCAGCAGCAGCCACAGCCCCTCTCTGTGCCCTGCCGTCTATCCGTGCTGTCACCCCTAGGGCAGGTAGCAGTCACACCCTTAATCCTGGCATCACGCCATGAATCAGTCCCAGCATCCCAGTCTTAATCCCAGCACGACACACTCTAGATGCAGCCACCTCCAAAACGCTCCATCTGTGACCACGGAGACTTTGGGGAGCATCTAGATAGAAGCTTAGGATCCCCTCGCAGCGATGGTCTGAGGCCTCCTGCCAACAGCCATGCACACGGCCTCGACGAAAGCGGATCCTTGGCCAGTCAAGCCTTTAGTGACTGGAGCCAAGATCAACACTGTGGCAGCAGCCTCAGGACAGTCACTGAGCCAGTTAGGCGGACAAGCCACACCAACCTTTCTGGCCCTTTGAAACTATGGGAGATGAGAAAGGTGTACTGGCCAAAGCCAATGTGCTTGGGCTCAGTGTTGAGAAGCAATTCATAACGAATGCCTCCTGTCTTCTAGAGTCCCATTGATGGCAGCATTTCCGGGCCCTCAGTCATAGCACCCACTGCACCGGGACGTACATACTGTCACCGTGGTCCTCCCTTCTGAGCAGTGAGCTTAAGGACCAGGACAGTTCATGCTGCTGTTTAGATTCACAGTGTCAATGGACTGAATGACAGAAGCTAGATTTAAAGATCTTAATTGGCCTCGTCTATAATTCTCAAGTTCAGCGATATTTCATTCCACGAAGCAGTAAGTATTCTAATGGGCTGAACAGAGTGGGTTGGTGGCAGAGAAAGCAGAAGCAAGGAACAAAAAGCAAGCTGGTCACCCTAAAGTTACTTTGCCTGCAAGGTGTCACGTGCCTGCAATCTCAGCAACTCAGGAGGCAGAGGTGGGAGGATTCCGAGTTCAAGGCCAGTGGGGGCAACATAGTAAGATCCTATCTCAAAGTTAAAAAACAAACAAACACCAAAATTATTTTCCCTGTACCAAGAGAAAAGGCAGAACAAGAGGAAAAAATAACTAAATAACATTAGGTTATGCTAGATTAACATTTTTTGGTGAAAAAAATTAAGGCAGAGGGAACTTACCAGAACAGTTGAAATGGACCACTTCGGGAAATTTGTCTCTCATCACTAATCCTGGTTTTTTTTGGAACCAGGGATTGAACTCAGGCCCTTGCGCTTGCCAGGGAAGTGCTTATTCCATTGAGCCATCTCCTCGGCCCTTAATCCTGATTTCTGAGATCAGATAAACAATTCAGTGGAACTTTGGTCAGCTCCATGAGTGCATTTTCTTCATGAGTTCAGGTGTCCGTTTTGGCTCTTAGCCTGCTCCATTGGGCCTAGCAGGTGAGTCTAAAACAAAAGACTGACTTAACACCAGGGTCTACCATCCTACTGCAATCAGAGTTTTGTTTTGTTTTGGGGTTTTCGTTCGTTTGTTTGTTTTCTTTTGTTTTCTGGTACCAGGGATCAAACTCAGGACCTTGTGCTTGCCAGGCAGGCACTTATGCTGCTGAGCTATCTTCCTGGCCACTTTTACTTTATTTTTTTTAACCAGCCTCTTGCTCTATAGTTCAGGCTGGTCTTGAACTCACTGTGTAGACCAGGATGGCCCTGAATTGAAGGTACTCTTCCTATCTCAGCCTCCTGAGGGCTGGGATCATAGGTATGCTTCACTATACCCAGCTCATAGCTCAATTGATATGGACCTCAATAAGTGTATGTGGTTGAACCATTTTCATTTACAGTATGTTGCCTTTTTTCCTTAAAATATAGCTTATATTTCAGATTTTTATGAATTCAGATTTTGTTGCCATTTATACAATTCACCGTAGCAGGGTTTGATGGCACACACTTCTAATCCTAGCACTCGGGAAGCTGAGGCAGGATTGCTGGGAGTTCAGGCCTAACCTACACTACATAGTGAGTTCGAGGCCAGCAAGAAATATGTATAAAAACTCTTTTTTTTTTTTTTTTTTTTTTGGCTTTAAGTACCAAAGATCTTTATTCTCAATTCTGAAATGGCAGATAATATCACTATGAGAGTAAGAGGTCCCACAAGTCTTTAATCAGTATTACTTCCCAATCTCACTGTATGAGACAAATTAATCAACCTGAAACGTACAGAAGTGAAAGCAAAAAGGGAACATTTTTACAGATGATCCCAGTTACCTTAAAGGTTAATTTTCAAATTTACAGTTACAGAACTGTCCAATTCCAATGAAAATCAAAAAAACCAATTCAGAAACACTAAGTTAGGCAAGCATGGAAAATTCAGAATATTTAGAAAATGCGAGTCCGAGTTGCCCAAATACACTCCTCAGGCAAAGGTGAATTTGAAGGTACTCAACAGAAAAATATGGAACGCTTCATGAATTGGCGTGTCATCCTTGCGCAGGGGCCGTGCTAATCTTCTCTGTATTGTTCCAGTTTTAGTCTATGTACCGCCGAAGTGAGCACAAGACTCTGTTTTTTTATTTTTTTTAATCTGATTTGTTTTTAAGTATTATGGTCACATACAAATTTGTGCTCATGTTGTACCTTCCTCACTTTAGTCCTTCTAATGAGCTGACAGGAAGCACCACTACCAATCACACATACAACAGTAAAAGTTTTAGTCTTGTGTTTTTGAATAGCTGTTTAAATACTACCATGAACAGTAACTCCGTCTGACCTGAAGAAATCAAAAGTAGAACTTGCTGCTATATCATGCTAACTCTTAAAAAGATCTGAATTTACAGAACCATAAAATGTGAGAAATGTTAAATACTCTTTATTTGGTATTATACATATACCACACTAAAATTCCTCTCAATAAGTAAAAGGCAGGGCCAGGGAAATGGCTCAGTGGAATAAGCGCTTCCCTGGCAGGCGCAAGGACCTGAGTTCGATCCCCGGTTCCGCAAAAAAAAAATAAATAAATAATAATAATAATAATAATAATAATAATAATAAGTAAAAGGCAGCACTTTTTAGATATAGGGAATTTTAATTAAATTGGCATAGTCAAGACTAAAAATATAGACATGGCTTTCTTGTTTTCAACCACTCCCTTTAACAGGCTAATAAACACAAACTGAAACAGTGGAGTCTTGCTTGGTTTTGAGATAATGAAAAATTCTCTCAGTATTTAAACATATTCACATAACCAGTTATATAAATCTAAATATAAAACCAACCTTCAGTAGTTTTGAGATGATATTCTCAATCTTTGTGAAAAGTTGAACATTACTAATCAAGTCCAACCATGTATTTAGAAGGGAAAACAATGACAGTATTTACTGAACTGGAATTACTATCAAACCTTGAAGAAAAAAAATTATATACATTTAACTACAAGCCAATTTTATTTAAATCAGGACCATCCAACAAAAATATTCTGTCAGCCACTCATGATCTGAATTCTGGTGTATGAGATTAAATTATGGTACAGATATAAAAATCATGAGACATTTCTGTTCTGCAATAAATAAGGCAGTGACTATTACTCATTAGTAGCCTTTTTGAGGTAAACTATTAAGTCTGCCCTTTCTCCCTTCTTCTTCATGCCAGCAAAGATCATTTTTGTTCCTGGGATGTACTTCTTGGGATTCTCCCAATACTCCATCAATGTATCCTCTCCCCAGGTGATACCTTTGTTCTTGTTGGCATCCGTGTAAGAGAATCCAGCAGCCTGACCTGTCTTCTACCCAAAGAGACCATGGAGACCCAGTCTTGTGCTTGCCTCCCTTCTTAGCAGTGTGGCACTGGGCACATTTCTGTACAAACATTTTCTTGCCTTTCTCAACATCACCCATTTTTAAACCTGCTGCAGCTTCCGCGCCGGGTGGTCACCGGTCTTCCCTCGTTACCACAAGGAAAGTTCTAGTGCAGAAGCCTGATGTCCCACTCTCTAGCCCAAGGACACACCAGTCCGCAGCTAAGTACCGGTGTTGGTGCAACCACACTTACTCTAAGACCCTGTCTTTTTAAAAACAATAAATAAATAAGCTGCTCTTCATCCAACTAGTGCTTAGCTATTGATATTAATGCTAAATTCATACTATCCAAGATCTTAGATGATTTTTTTTTAACTTTTGCAATGGAAATGTAAGAACTTTTACTTTAGGGGGTGTTGCTGGAGAACAAACGCAAGGCCTCATGTCTCCTCACACTGTGCCACTCAGCTACACCTGCAGTCCTTTTTATTTCATTTTGAAACAAGGCCTCACTACATTGCCCCGGCTGGCCTCTAACCTCTGATCTTCCTGCTTCAGCCTCTGGAGTGGCTGGGATCACAGGCATGAGTCACCACACCCCACCTATATCAACTTTTAACAGAAAAGTTTAAACACAGTGTAAGGTAATGATATTCCTATCCTTTCAAAACCACTGTCCCGGGCTGGTGAGATGGCTCAGTGGTCTAAAGCACCTACTTAGAACAAGCTTAGCAAAGCACAGAGACTGCGGTTCAATCCCCCAGCACCACATGCCAGCCAGCCCCGCCCCCTGGTGGGCTGAGCTGGTCACATACACACATACACACACACACACACACACACACACACACGTAAATAAATAAAATTTAAAAAAAAAAAAACCACTGTCCCATTAACCTGAGATTTTTCCAAATAGGACTAAATAACCTGGAGATAAATGTATCTCTCCGAGGGGAAAAAGTTTTTTTTTTTTAAATCAAAAAATATTTTCTGAATTGGTTGCACAATTTCAGAGATTAGGATTAAAATGGAAATTGTATTCTTTACCTCATGTTTCATTCGTGAAATCTAACTTTATTGCTATCAAAGACATCAGTTCAATTTTATGATTGAATTTGTTATTGATATTGCACTGAGAACCTGCGGTAATCAAGTTTACCATTTCTTTCCTAAAATATAACATAAAAAATTGAGTGATCAATGACATTTCTTATTTTGTACACACAAAATAAGAAGCACTTTCAAAATATGTCTAACTCCTCAGTAAGTGGGAAGGAATGCACATCAGGGCATTCTTCACCATGGTCATTGTTAAGGAATCTGCCACATCTAGAAGGCTCTGTCCCCAGGAAACAGGCAGTCTACATCACTGTGATAGGAGCTTGGGATGTGGCAAGGCCGTCGGGGGAAGTAAGCATGATCTGGTACATACAAGATTCCGGAACACTTGACAGAACAGTTCTGAAAGTCCCGCATGTGGACTTCTCGTGAGAACTAGGGCTGTTTTTCATTAGGATAGCTTAGACCTGACGTCAGCCTGAGCCTTGGGATCCCGGCACCACCTTTCTGGACCCGTATGTAGAAGTTCTCACAGGTTCCCTCCAGAGTTGGATGGCGTACAATATGCAAATGCCAAGAAGAGCTTACTATCATATTTCCAACACAGTAACTCACCCTGCTCTCTTCAGGGTATCCTTTTCTTGCTTTTTTCTCCTTTTACCTGGCCCAAGTTCAACCTGCATGGCTGGTTTCCCCCTCGCTCTTTACTTTTACTTTCTTGAATATACTTGGCTATGTTTTTTTTGTTCGTTTTGTTCAGTTCTTGCCCAAGATGAGAAGAACCTAGAATCTAACTCCAGAGGCGAGAAGAGCAACCCAGACCCCGGCAATGTTGAGTTGCTGAGCCATCTTTGGAAGGAGCTGCCAGATAACAGCAGCATTGCCAAGTGGTCCACTGTCTTTCCTCTGCCAAGAATGAAAATCCAACAAAGCAGTCCTCAAGGAAAGCGGTCCCAAAAGAAGATTTTCAGCTCTGAGGTGTGAAGTTCACCTGTGCTCCTGGAAGGACGGGCCAAGCACACGTGGCGGGCGTGACCTGGGCATTGACACTTGGAGGGAGCTCAACAGGGTGGAAGTGGTCATCTTGCCCCATCTGTAACATCCTCAGGTCATCCTATCCAGTCTCACCCAGCAGAAACAGCTAAAACAAGAACAACAGGCCTAAGCATCCAACCCTACGCTATCGTATCATTATCTCTGCCGCTCTCCCAGAAAGGCCTCCTTCATCCAAACTTCCAATAAAAGTATTTGTAAAATAATAAAAGCACACCTTGCCTTGTCCCTGGAGCCCTCATCTGCGCTGTGTGTAGGTGGTGACCTCCCTTCCCACAATAAACCATGCGTGCAGCTGTGTTACGCATAGGTTGTATTGGTGGCATCTGGAGGATGACAAATTCTCAGGTTGGGCTTGGCAATAAACTAAGATTTGGAGACTAATACATGGCCTTTAACCTAACTTTCCCCATCAGAGGCCACTGATCTCTAAATAATTCCATACCTGGTCCCTTAATATTTTAATATCTATAGGCCCAAGAGTTGCTGCCATGTTTTTCAGGGTGATGATATTTGTTTAGAGCTCAGAAGATGCCCAAAGAGAGGGCACTCTTATATGCCGAGTGCTGCTTTGAACGAAAAGCCATTGATAGGGTTCTGAACCAAGCTCCCCCTGGTCTTCTGCCCTCCAGTCTCTGGCCTCTCGTTTTCCCCCAAAGTGCCTCACAGAATCTAGAATTCCTCTTCCCAAGAGGGCTTCAGAAACTGGAGCCCCTCTCCTCCCAGTCAAGCTGTGGAACCTACAAATATTACCATTCCACGAACTTGCCGTCTCGGAGCAGGTGGTAAAGACACTCTCAAGGTAGCATGTTTGTAACAGGTGACAAATCCCTCATCCCTCCTGCCCCATACCCAGGAGGAAGGACTGCTGCCCAGAGGGCAGAGCAGGGGCAGAAGACACAGGCCAGGCAGGAACTCCCCTTGTTCTGCCCCCTTGACCCCACACTCTTGTCCAATCACAATTCTACACAGTTGTCCATGTCTCACTGAGTCTAAGCTTAGAGTTTTCCACGAGTCTCTGGGGCTTCACTCTGAAGTCTTCCATGCCACTCGAACTATGATTAAACAAACTGGTGACCTTTCCTCACATTAGCCTGTCTTTTGTGATAGAGGTGTCAACCATGACCCTCTCAATGACGATACCCTCATTTCTGCCCCTACACTAGCTTGAAATAAAAAACTTGTCTAGGTCAAACAGTTTGAGAACTGTTGACTTAAAGATAAAACCCACGATTCCCTCACTGCAGCCCTCCTCAGGGCCTTCGGTATGTATACAGGGGATCAAAATGCTCCCCCAAAAAAGAGTTACTCATAGATAGCCTTTGCAAAATGCATACAAATCCTCTGTCCAAAAGCAGCTCGCTAGATTACCATGGGCTACTGCCAGGGTGACAGTTTGATTTAACTTTGCACCCTGCCCTTTTTCACAGGCTACAACAGGAGAACATGGCCAGAAAGGAAGATGAATAGCTCCAGCTGTCTTAGCACTCAGGATAAGCCTGAGTCCTGCCAGCTTTTACATGATGAGCTCTTCGTGCCCTGAGCTGTGGCCAGGCAGTTCCAGCCCTTCTCCCTAAAAGTCACACTAACCTGTCAACATCCTGAAGTCCTCCCCACACCTAGGAGCACTAGACCCAAATCGGCTGATGT